ACTGACAGAGGGTACCATGGTTGTTGACCGACAGAGGGTACCATGGTTGTTGACTGACAGAGGGTACTATGGTTGTTGACTGACAGAGGGTACTATGGATGTTGACTGACAGAGGGTACCATGGATGTTGACCGACAGAGGGTACCATGGATGTTGACCGACAGAGGGTACCATGGTTGTTGACCGACAGAGGGTACCATGGTTGTTGACCGACAGAGGGTACCATGGTTGTTGACCGACAGAGGGTACCATGGTTGTTGACCGACAGAGGGTACTATGTTTATTGACTGACAGAGGGTAACATGGTTGTTGACTGACAGAGGGTACCATGGTTGTTGACCGACAGAGGGTACTATGGTTGTTGACCGACAGAGGGTACCATGGTTGTTGACCGACAGAGGGTACCATGGTTGTTGACCGACAGAGGGTACCATGGATGTTGACCGACAGAGGGTACCATGGTTGTTGACCGACAGAGGGTACCATGGTTGTTGACCGACAGAGGGTACCATGGTTGTTGACCGACAGAGGGTACCATGGTTGTTGACCGACAGAGGGTACCATGGTTGTTGACTGACAGAGGGTACTATGTTTATTGACCGACAGAGGGTACCATGGATGTTGACCGACAGAGGGTACCATGGTTGTTGACTAACAGAGGGTACCATGGTTGTTGACCGACAGAGGGTACTATGGTTATTGACCGACAGAGGGTACCATGGATGTTGACTGACAGAGGGTACTATGGTTGTTGACCGACAGAGGGTACCATGGTTGTTGACCGACAGAGGGTACCATGGTTGTTGACCGACAGAGGGTACCATGGATGTTGACCGACAGAGGGTACCATGGTTGTTGACCGACAGAGGGTACCATGGTTGTTGACCGACAGAGGGTACCATGGTTGTTGACCGACAGAGGGTACCATGGTTGTTGACCGACAGAGGGTACTATGTTTATTGACTGACAAAGGGTAACATGGATGTTGACCGACAGAGGGTACCATGGTTGTTGACTGACAGAGGGTACCATGGTTGTTGACCGACAGAGGGTACTATGGTTATTGACCGACAGAGGGTACCATGGATGTTGACTGACAGAGGGTACTATGGTTGTTGACCGACAGAGGGTACCATGGTTGTTGACCGACAGAGGGTACCATGATTGTTGACCGACAGAGGGTACCATGGATGTTGACCGACAGAGGGTACCATGGTTGTTGACCGACAGAGGGTACCATGGTTGTTGACCGACAGAGGGTACCATGGTTGTTGACTGACAGAGGGTACTATGTTTATTGACCGACAGAGGGTACCATGGATGTTGACCGACAGAGGGTACCATGGTTATTGACCGACAGAGGGTACCATGGATGTTGACTGACAGAGGGTACTATGGTTGTTGACCGACAGAGGGTACCATGGTTGTTGACCGACAGAGGGTACCATGGTTGTTGACCGACAGAGGGTACTATGGTTGTTGACCGACAGAGGGTACCATGGTTGTTGACCGACAGAGGGTACTATGGATGTTGACTGACAGAGGGTACCATGGTTGTTGACTGACAGAGGGTACCATGGTTGTTGACCGACAGAGGGTACCATGGATGTTGACTGACAGAGGATACTATGGTTATTGACTGACAGAGGGTACCATGGTTGTTGACCGACAGAGGGTACTATGGATGTTGACTGACAGAGGGTACCATGGTTGTTGACTGACAGAGGGTACCATGGTTGTTGACCGACAGAGGGTACCATGGATGTTGACTGACAGAGGGTACTATGGTTATTGACTGACAGAGGGTACCATGGTTGTTGACCGACAGAGGGTACCATGGATGTTGACCGACAGAGGGTACTATGGTTGTTGACCGACAGAGGGTACCATGGATGTTCACTGACAGAGGGTACTATGGTTATTGACTGACAGAGGGTACCATGGTTGTTGACCGACAGAGGGTACCATGGTTGTTGACCGACAGAGGGTACCATGGATGTTGACCGACAGAGGGTACCATGGATGTTGACCGACAGAGGGTACTATGGTTATTGACCGACAGAGGGTACCATGGTTGTTGACCGACAGAGGGTACTATGGTTATTGACTGACAGAGGGTACTATGGTTATTGACCGACAGAGGGTACCATGGTTATTGACCGACAGAGGGTACCATGGTTATTGACCGACAGAGGGTACCATGGTTGTTGACCGACAGAGGGTACCATGGTTGTTGACCGACAGAGGGTACCATGGTTGTTGACCGACAGAGGGTACCATGGTTGTTGACCGACAGAGGGTACCATGGTTGTTGACCGACAGAGGGTACCATGGTTATTAACTGACAGGGGATACCATGGTTATTGACTGACAGAGGGTACCATGGTTATTGACTGACAGAGGGTACCATGGTTGTTGACCGACAGAGGGTACCATGGTTGTTGACCGACAGAGGGTACCATGGTTGTTGACCGACAGAGGGTACCATGGTTGTTGACCGACAGAGGGTACCATGGTTGTTGACCGACAGAGGGTACCATGGATGTTGACTGACAGAGGGTACCATGGTTGTTGACCGACAGAGGGTACCATGGATGTTGACCGACAGAGGGTACCATGGTTGTTGACCGACAGAGGGTACCATGGTTGTTGACCGACAGAGGGTACCATGGTTGTTAACCGACAGAGGGTACCATGGTTGTTGACCGACAGAGGGTACGATGGTTGTTGACTGACAGAGGGTACTATGTTTATTGACCGACAGAGGGTACCATGGATGTTGACCGACAGAGGGTACCATGGTTGTTGACTGACAGAGGGTACTATGTTTATTGACCGACAGAGGGTACCATGGATGTTGACTGACAGAGGGTACCATGGTTGTTGACTGACAGAGGGTACTATGGTTATTGACCGACAGAGGGTACCATGGATGTTGACTGACAGAGGGTACTATGGTTGTTGACCGACAGAGGGTACCATGGTTGTTGACCGACAGAGGGTACCATGGTTGTTGACCGACAGAGGGTACTATGGTTGTTGACCGACAGAGGGTACCATGGTTGTTGACCGACAGAGGGTACTATGGATGTTGACTGACAGAGGGTACCATGGTTGTTGACTGACAGAGGGTACCATGGTTGTTGACCGACAGAGGGTACCATGGATGTTGACTGACAGAGGGTACTATGGTTATTGACTGACAGAGGGTACCATGGTTATTGACCGACAGAGGGTACCATGGTTGTTGACCGACAGAGGGTTCGATGGTTGTTGACTGACAGAGGGTACTATCTTTATTGACCAACAGAGGGTACCATGGATGTTGACCGACAGAGGGTACCATGGTTGTTGACTGACAGAGGGTACTATGTTTATTGACCGACAGAGGGTACCATGGATGTTGACTGACAGAGGGTACCATGGTTGTTGACTGACAGAGGGTACCATGGTTGTTGACCGACAGAGGGTACTATGGTTATTGACCGACAGAGGGTACCATGGATGTTGACCGACAGAGGGTACTATGGTTGTTGACCGACAGAGGGTACCATGGTTGTTGACCGACAGAGGGTACCATGGTTGTTGACCGACAGAGGGTACCATGGATGTTGACCGACAGAGGGTACCATGGTTATTGACTGACAGAGGGTACCATGGTTGTTGACCGACAGAGGGTACTATGGTTTTTGACCGACAGAGGGTACCATGGATGTGGAGCGACCACCAAAAAGAGGATTACACAGGATGGTGTTTGAACCACTTGGTGCATTACAGCACAGTTGGAGATACATTTTTCTTCTGTATAATGTCAGGCCATAAACATATAGGGTCACCACTTTGAGCCAATCTGCAAAAGGGAGAGCATGCAATGGAAGCTTTGCTGGACCATGAAAAAAAAAATTCAAGTTGCAGTTTTCCACTGGTAAGGTTATGCTGAGCACATTTTTTTTTAAACCATGAAGGCCATTGTCGGCAGACTTGAAAAAAAAAAACCCTGGTGTCAAGATCAACTCTAGCCACTACTTGAAAACACTTTACAAGCTGCTTAGAGCCATAAAAAATTAATGTCCTGGCATGATTTCTTATGATTTTGTTGCATGATAATACTCGTTTGTCTTTTGCAATGACTGTGCAGGAAGCATTGGCATGAAATCCTCTTAAAAAAAAAAAACCTCTGTCGGTCGATGGCATTCACCACCCACCTAAGCCACACAATGTTTGTCTGAATGCCTAAGGCAACTTTCTGACCAACCTATGGCTCATAATTAATTCAAATTAAGGGGAACACTGGCCCAACGAGTCAACACCATACTCAAAAGTTGTATGAAGCTAAAAAATAACTCATAAAAACAGTCAATTTTATGACAGGAACTCATCTGTTTAGGTAAATCATAGAGCGATCACAAGAAGAAGAAGAAGAAGAATTCAAACTGAAAGCTTTGTTTAATTCTGCTACAAATGTAGATATTTCTTTCATGCTTTGAACAGGTTGAAATGAATGCTCCTTATAGATACACAAATACTGTAGACTGCATCTGTTGAAAGACAGCTCTGTACTGTGCCGTGAAAACTCCTGCCTTCCCACACGACTCTGTACTGTGCCGTGAACACACCTGCCTCCCCACACAACTCTGTACTGTGCCGTGAACACTCCTGCCTCCCCACACAACTCTGTACTGTGCCGTGAACACTCCTGCCTTCCCTCACAACTCTATACTGTGCCGTGAACACTCCTGCCTTCCCACACAACTCTATACTGTGCCGTGAACACTCCTGCCTTCCCTCACAACTCTGTATTGTGAACACCTCTGCCTCCCCTACACAAAAACTCCCTGTATTTACCACTTTTAGAATAATGTAGGATGGGGGAGGGGGCATGAGCCTGAGGATTTAGCCACATGGATAGTACAGTCGCTGTGAACAGTGCAGGCAAGGACCGTCACCACAACTCTGTATCAACCTAACATAAAGTTTTTGTTTGTCCGCCTTGTGTCTGGTTACTTTCTGACTGCGTAAACTGGATCACCAACGCGAACAGTAGATTCAACATCAACACCAGCAAAAATGCCAAACAATGGAGACTGGCATATTTCTGGAAACATACGGAATCTGAAAAGAAAACGTGGTCTGCTTTAATTAAATAAATAACTTAACAAGTCTCTAGTAAACACATGCTTGAAGCTACAGGGACAGACGTGAGTAAATGGAAACTAGAAAATAATTGTTTTCAACTTTCTTAATCATATTATTTTGAATGCCACTGTCTCACACAACGTTCAGATGACATGTTTGGTTCTAACCCAGCAGCTTTCACCCTGTAAAGGCTGACATCTAGGCTTGCCAGGTTTTTTTGATGCTATGATGTCTTTGGATATTGGTCACTAAGAACTTTGGTATAAGAACTTTGGTGCAGGTTGTAACTTAACAGTGTGTAGACATGGTGGGTATGATTATATTTATCAAAACAATTTTTTAAAGATATTATTTGGGATTAAAAAAATAGATTTTTAAAAACTATGATGTCACCATAAGGTCATATAATTTCATAACTGTGTCACATTGATCTTTGTAGGAAAAGTGACGAATATCATGGTATATAGCTAAAGGGAAGGGAAGTAAATCAGTCAATCTTGGTTCCATTAGTATTTAGTGATTACTTCCATTCAGATACGAATGAACCTTTTCTCGATTAGAACATTCAGTAACTAGAAAGTTGTAAAATGTTTTCACGAGGTACAATAGGCAACATTATTTAATTTGTTTCAGGTAAAGAAAAAGCCATGCTAGCCATACAAGACTCTCCCCCCCCCCCCCCCCCCCCCCCCCCCCCCCCCCCCCCCCCCCCCCCAAAAAAAAAAAAAAAAAAACCAGTGAGCGTAAGGACGATAACTAAATTAAAAATAATGTTTTCCGGTAAAGAATTTAAATAATGTGGACACAATACATAGCACAATTTTTTTCCCCAGCATATGTCGCTGTATCTCATCAGGTGTGTTGCTACAGCGTTACATCAACATAAAATGAAACACACAAAAGTAAATAAATCCAACTGAAATGCGAACTGAGAAACCAAAACCGACAATTCTGTACTGCGGTTATGGTTTTTCAATCGTCATCGCTCACCTGCAACAGTGAAGAGACTCGATGAATTATTCAAACTGAAATGTAAAATCGCAGAACAGGATTGTCGGTTACGCAGCTAATGAGATACAGCAAAATATACCTAGCCATAAACTGTGCAATGTGTCCGCATTATTTCAACTAATTTAATCTGTGTGTGTACACGCGTGCATGCTTGTGTGTGTGTGTGCATGTGTGGATAAAATTCATGGTTGCTCATGTACTTTTGTCTCACTTCTGGCTCAAAAAGTGATGAAATTGGGATTACAGCCACACTAGGTGTCACTGTATTTATATTTTCTAAGGTTTGTAACATCATAACTGATCTAGGTTCTTGGGTCAACCCAGCCTAAAATCTGTATGTAACATCATAACTGATCTAGGTTCTTGGGTCAACCCAGCCTAAAATTTGTAGCAGAAAATGCCATGGGAAGTAAAGATATTGTGACATGATATTGATGACATCACTCACTGAGTGTCATTTGGTCTACAGACATTTGGGGCTAGTACCATAGGTCCAATACAGCTAGAGGCGGGGTAACAGGACCTTTCATGTTTGACCTTTTCTTTTGTCGACATTAATTCAATAAGCTCTGAACTGCTTTAAAAAAAATCTGCTAAAACCTAGGTTACCAGAGATGTTAGGTCATTTTAACACTTCAGTGTCAACTGGAGTTAGCAATAAAATATTGTAAATAATGTCATAACAGTCAAATGGTTGTCTTCAGTTATCAGATTAGTGTCACAGTCCTTCCATGGTGCTGATGACTGAGATATGTTAAAAATGCTGAACACTGAAAGGGTCTCGGGGGTTTGCTGTTGTAAATATGCTTGCCTTTTCACAAGGAATTCCAGAAAAATTGGACTAAGAAGCTCAACAAAATGGGGAAGCAGTAAAACGTGAACAAAACAATACAACGTAACGTTTCGACCGAGCGGCCTTTTTCAAACACAAGTGGACTACACAAACGAGTTGAGGAGAGTAAGTAGATCTCTAAGGGGTGACGTGAGCAACGTTTACAAAATGTGATGTCGAATAAATGAAATAAAACAAAATAAACGATGGCTAAAACATATAACCACAAAAAATAATAAACAGTAGTATTGATAATATATAATATAGTACTGGGAATAAAAGAAATACAAATGTTAATGATATATAAATGATACTGATAAGAAATAAAATAAAGTAATAATATGAAATAAAAGAAAATAATTATCATTTAAAATGTGATAAGAGTAGAACTATTTAGATAAAGGTATGTTGGAAATTAATACCACCTGGACTAAGAACACCTAAGCTGTAGATGAGGCGACCAAAGCGAGGCGCATAGTATGATCGCCAGAGCAAGATTTTAATGCTGTGACAGAAATATCATCTTTATCTCTGTGGTCAGAGCTATTAAAATGGAGAGGGATTGGTTTAAGTGTCTTCTTGTCGATATCGGAGAGGTGTTTCCGGAAACGATCAGCTAGCTTCCTGCCAGTTTCCCCAATGTATGCCTTGCTGCATCTTTTGCAGACAATTGCATAAATTACGTTGCAGGATTCACAAGTAAAAGGTTCCATAATTTGGAAAGAATAATTAGGGAAACTAACCGAAGAAGTCTGGACAACAAAAGGACATGTGCTGCGTGAGCACTGAGTAGTCCCAAGAGGAAGTGCTTCGTGGATCGGTGGGAATCGGCTTCGGACAAGTATGTCTTCAAGGTTGCGGCCTCGTCTATAAACCAATCTAGGTTTCTCACTAAAGATAATCTTGGTGTCAGGATAAGAGCGGAAAATGTCCAACAATCCTTTGCCTTTTCACAGCAAACAGCACGTGTTTTCTTACTGTAGACTTATGTAATCTTGTTCAATGATGGCTTTCAGCTTCATATTCTTGACTCAACAGCATAAATAGAAGCAAGTAAACAATTTTTTTTTGGGGGGGGGGGGAGAAATTTGTTTAGGTTTATTAATTTTAATACAACTTTTGAACATACATTACTTTCACACTAGTTATCAATAGTCCCTCAGTTGCTTTTGATAGGTAAATATCAGTATATCCGATCCATCTATACACAGTAGTCAAAAACAGCATCAAAACTGCTAAATTCACAGGAATTTCACAATTTACTGAAACCAGAAAAGCAGTTTCCCAGGTATTTGTAATCATGGCTAAACAATATTTTGGTTTCTTGGTCCATAGTGCTAGCAGCAATGCTGCAGTCTTGATTTTAGTTGTTGTAGCTGTGTTGTTGACTGATGGCAACATTGATGGTAACATTGATGGTTACATTGATGGTTACATTGATGGTAACATTGATGGTAACATTGATGGTAACATTGATGGTAACATTGATGGTAACATCTTCAGGATGTGCCACCAAAACAAGTATCTCATATTTATCAGCCTCTCTGTGGTTTCAAGAAAGACTTGAATCCATATGGTGGCATTTCACACATCAATTTAAATATTCTATTTGCATAATCAGTCATATTAGCTGTTGGTAATGTGAGCAAGATATTCATCTCACAAATATAGACCAGTAATTTATTAGATATATTAACTGGCTTTTGTGTTTGCAAAGTTAATTTAATGTAGCACAGCTCTCTTCTTCGGTGCATATATTGTTGTCACACCCAGGTTCATCTTTAGGTTTGCTACAGGAGGAGTCGATTGGAAGATTATAGACGAGGAGAAAGATGGTCGTGTCGATAGTGGTGGTGGTGATGATGATGATGTCTTGCTTGTTGCATGCTTCTCATGTGACTCTGATGCTTGTATACAAAACAGCTGGAAACAACTCTTCTTGTCTGTACTGTCTTTATTGTGATACTTTAGCATTGACACAAATACATCAATAATATTCTGAATGGCGCTGTGTTCTCTATGGCTAAATACTCGTAGGTTCGCGTTGTGTTCTTCTTCTTTAGTTACTTTGTTAAACTGGTTCTAGTGTCTCTAACTGCCACCTGGCTTCTAGTACTGTTGGTACTAACGGCTTGATCGTCGACTCTAACATCTCTGTAGTGTTAATAATGTGTCTCTGTTGACCATGGATCCATGTATATCTTGTGTGTCGTCTCTGTAGCTCGATGTCTCGTTTCATGTCTGCTCTCCAGTGACTGTCTTCTAGGTTCAATATGAACGGCTGCTCTGCTTCCAGTGTTGAGCTGGCATCGAGGATCATTGAGACTAGTCGCTCGTCCTCTGAGTCTCAACGACTGAAGGCTTCTAGTGTTGGGCTTACATCTCTACCACTGAAGGCTGTCTTGAGAGTCCATGACTGGTCTCTCCTTTCTTGAGTCTTGTGGACTGAAGAATTTTTTAAAGTGCTTTGTTGCTCGCTATTTATACTTGGATGCTGGAATGCTAGGTATTTGTTTTCTTTTCGCTTTGTCCGCTTCTAGAATATTCTAGTACACCTCAACTTGTTTACTAGGTAGGTTCTCACATGGGATTTGCTAATTATATCTCGATTGCATCAGATTTCATCATCCTATTCTACGCAGATATAGTAGTTAAACTGACAATTGAGGTCATAGAAGCTTCTAGAAAAACAAGTAGAATTGCGTTTGCTTTGATAGGCACGTCAACAAGGTATTCACTAGTACGACAAGGTTGGGTCACATGATGAAAAGAATGCATTTCAAAACTTCTAGAAAGAAGGCTAAGGCCAGACAACATCAGTTTGATGTCAATAGCTTGTTTTGGCGAGAAAAGAAGATTCTGGAAAAGGGAATGTCAAGGCTGCCAAAACTTGTTGATTTTCAGTTCACCATAACTCTGCGTAATAGCCCACTTCCTACAAACAAGTAATGGCTTAACTGTGTTACAACCCTTCCCTCCTAAAGAAATGTTCACTCATATGTGAACATTTATGCTACTATGTCTACTCTCAGATGCCATTTTACAATTATTATAAGCCATGTGCAATTATACATCAACATAATTCAATTTTACATCAACATCTCACATCATATATAAAAATATCAAAGGTTTG